TGATGGTGAAGAGCAAAAGCCGGGCCAAGGATTTCAGCTGGAATCCAACCATATAATCATATGGGGGAACCACTAGCAGTTGCAACCAGCAGAATGGTGAATTATGGAAAGGTTTAAAAAGAGTTAGTGGTGTTCATCACAGTGAAAAGGAGACTGAAAAAATGTAATTATATACTACGAATACCTTGAAGCAATTTGCATTTTATAGGAAGAGAATTATTTAACTTAAAAAGTAGTAACTAGTAAACTAGTAAACTAGTAAACAAGAATAAGCTTCTGAAATCGACCCCCATAAAAATCCATAAGAAGGATGTCAGTTAATTCAAAACATGAAGGTTATTTTGCAAGGACACCAAAAAAACAAAATTGGTGTATCAGACCAATGCCCCTGTAATCCAGTACATTCATTCATCAAAAGCTAACCAAACAACTCTGTGAAGCTCAATGAGGTACAATGACAATAACTATCTCTGTTGTATTTTGCCTAGGATGTGATAATTAGAGGTTTATCCTTTCCGAACAATGTGGTTCCATTTAGTCATCATAACTACTGTTAAGGGTAACATCTATGAATTACCTTGGAGCATACACTAGATTACCACAGGCAATCTTAAGAGTTCTAAAAACCTTCCCTGGGTAAAATTTATAAGTGGTTACCATATAGCAGCATGAGGTTCAGGATCTTTGAGGCATTCTATACTTCTCCTGTGCACAAAGATCAATAACATCTTATCCTTTTTTGCAACAAGGCATTATTATTTTATCCAAAACTATGAATCACAAACTAAGGCTGTCCTTCTGAGTCAGATCATCTAGCCCAGTATTGTCTAGTATTGCAGGTAGCTGCTCAACTGGTTTTAAGCAAGGGACTTCCCAAACCCTTCTGTCAAATTATTATTACTATTTTTAACCCAGACATGCCAAGGAAAATAGCAAGGACATTCTGCATGCAAAACACAAAGCATGGTCCTAGTCCCTTACCAAGGCATTCTGACTTTACTGTAATTTGAAGACCCCAGAGATCTCATAGCGTTCCTCACAAAATGAGTAGTTTTTCACCAAAATCCCACTTGTAAATTTTTTCACAACTTTTCTTGCTTGTTGTAACTGGTCTCTAGTCTAATTGGAGAGAAACTGTAAGACTGCAACCACAAGTGAAGTTGGAAAGAGAGGACTCTTTTTTTAGTTGTCTTGCAAACAGCCACTAATTTAAGGGTACATATAAACAGAATGTGTTGAACTCTATGCAGTCTTTTTGCTACTCTTGTGCAAATAACATACATGAACATCTGAAGTTCTCTGTAGAGGCGAATGTAGGATGGCCAAATTGGTGTAAACTATGTGTGAATCGTACATAGACAGACATTGACTAATACATGAAGAGGATATTTTACGTACAATACTGCCCCATTATTTTGACAACAGTCAATAAGTAAAAGCTCTACGTTCCTTAAAAGAACAGAAATTAAGGAAAGGAAGCCAGCACTCCCATTAACCTACAGTTCCAGAACCTCTGAAGCACAACATTAATATAGAATACCTGAATCAACAGAAATATTTTCCCAATAAGCATCAGCATACAGTACCTTAAGCGACTATGCAGAAATGGTGAAATAAACTTTTGCTTATATGTCTTTCCTATTATCTTCCAACTCTGCTTTATACACAGTTAAACCACACTATCAGAATGTATGCTGGTACCAGTGGGACTGACACATCAAAACCAAGTTCACAGGACCATCTGCAGCAATGCAGTACCTTTCTTTTTCTGTGGCATACCCAGTTTGGGGGCACTACACTGGGTTAGCCATGAGTATAATCCAACCAAATTGTCATTAGCATCTTAAAATCCAACTCTGGCATTGTAGATTATTTGTACATCAATCTGCATGTTAAAAAGCAGAAAATTCCTTATAGCCAACTTCTTTCACATGTAGCTAAAAGTATTTAAACTTGATTTTAAGAGAATTAAAATACTAACTGGCAGTACATAGATGCATTCTTAAGAAAACCTGAACAAGGTCAGAAAACTGGCATCCATAGGGAAATCTACAAATGCAATGGAAAAGCCAAAGTCTACATAGCAATAATTTAAAGAACAAGATGAGGGGAGGAATCATCTATTTTAGTACTGTTCCTGTATTGTTCCAGTTTCATAATTTTGAAATATTTATTATTTAATTTCTATACCACCCATTAAAAAGAACAGATTCTCTGGGTGGCATAGAAATTTATTTATGTACTTAAGGGCATTTAGAATTAAAGCTTTTCCATGCAGAAGCAAGCAGGATGCTCATTAATTTAGACCAGATTGCTATTTTCAGAAACATCAAATTGATATGTACAGAGTTCTCATGTTCCTTTTGTCCACAATTTTCCTTGTGATTTGAATTCTAGTGCACTATCACTCTAAGTTACTGCAAATTTTTAGAAAGAATCTGTACAGATCAGAACAAGTATTGGATGATCAGAGTTCAACTAGATCATACATTTATCAATAAGAAAAAAACCTGAGTATTAATACCTAAAACAATAACTGAAAAGGGAACTTGTCTAGCTTGCCATTCCTCATTCAAAAAAGTTGAATCATACAGCAGAATTTGTCAATTAGGAGGAACTTAAGTGTAAGAAATAAAACTTCATTTACTTTATACTAATAAAAGATATCCCATTTTAGAACCATGTTATTTTATACAGTTCTCTTTGAGACCACTTTTTCTTGAAAGTTCTAGTACGGTTTTCAGTAAATTTCTAGAATACAGTATCTTCTTCTGTTTCTCTACCCTGTTTCTCTACCCTTTACCAGATTTCAGGTATAGATGGCAAAACTAAAACATACTTGATGCACATAGGAATGGTAGGCTTGCATTTCAGGAAAAGAACCAAGTCCCAGCCTGAAATGTGGAAAACCACTGCATCAGGATTATGCATTAATATTAAATGGCTGTCATCTGTTCCTCTATTATCATGGAACAGCTTAGCCAAATGAGACATGAGCTACTTGTTTCAGATAAAGTCACTGTCGAGCAAGTAAAGAAAGTAGAAACCTGAGAACCAGAGTGAAGAAAGAAGCTCTGTAAGTGTTCTTTCTTAAATTTAAAACACCTTTTAATTAAAGAGAGGTCAGTTTACATAGGGTGTATTAACAGAGATAATAACATCAGATATGAATTGACCTTTATTGAAAAGTAATTCATTAATTCAGTTGCCATAGGATGAGAGGCGGCACGTTGCAATGAAACACTATTCCCATCAGTTGGATTATGTCTACAATGTAAATTACTTTGCTCCATTTGAGGAGGTTGTTCAGTTGTTGAGAGGGCTACAGTTGATTTTATTACCTTTTTACTTTAGGTTCTTAGCATCTTATTTGTCCTGTGCCTGTGTATTTTTCTTTTTCTATGCATTGTATACTTCAAAACTGCTTCACAACAACTGATATTTTCCTAAGGATGCAAGAATACGTCTTGCTCATTTGTCATCAGGACCTTCAAAAATGTCTATTTCCTAGGTGCCTGTATCATGTTTTAGACATCCGAGCAACCAGACATCAGGGATATTCCCAGCTGTGAAAGAAGTGATATAGAACATTCAATCATACCAAAAAATCGTATCTGTGACAAAAACCATTCTTTAATCTCTACAGTTGTGCATGATTGCCAAACAAAAAAAGTGAAAAATACGTTCATCTCCCACTTCTTGTACTAGAGAAAATAGAGAAGGCAGTAAGGAAAAAGGGGTAAAAAAAAAACTGACCACCCAGTTCAAGCCCCCCCCCCCCCCCCCCCCCCACACACACACACACACACACACACACACACACACACGGATATACAGAGATTCTGTTGAGGAAATCTGACTGATCTCATAGACTTTTACTGTGTTGGTACTAGTTGCCAGGTTAAAAATATGTAAAAACTTCAATTTGATACTGAATGTAACCTACACTAAATCACACATATAAAAACAAATGGCAATGATGGATTTTCTTGTATTTTAACAATTCTATTCCACCTTCCAAAAAAAGTCTTATTAGCATTTCCTACCAATGCCTTTACACAATAAAAACAGATAATCAGCAGAACTCTAAAGTAGTCAATAGCTCAAGGAATGACATCAATTCAGGCTAAACATGCTCTTGATAGAGCCTGTAGTTTATTCATTTCTGCTGCAAAGATAAATATTAGGCACATGATGAACAAACAACTACTTGGGAAATATGATTTGGATAGTACTTTGGCTCTCAGCCCCAAAACTTACAATGCTGGTACACCCTACAAGAGTCACAAATTACTATTCTCATTAGCTTCAGAAAAGTCAGGATTTCTTCTAATACATGAGAAAAGATATAAATTCAATTCGTAGTGTAAACAGATATCTGTGACACCCATATACCTCTTCATTTGCTATTATCTGTGACTAACCATAAACAATGAGCCAACTTGTTAGAGAAAGGATATTGACCTAAGTATCTCTTTTGATGTCAGCATCTGACACTAATACACTAATTTTACCACAGGCCACCTCCTACTATTACAGAGTGCCTAACACTGCACCTAGCAAGTATACCCAGCATTAGATCAAGCTTGAATAAATCCAGTCACTTTTCTTTTGCACTGATTGTTCAAGTTCCAATAGAGTCTCAATAATGGTAGGTTTGGAAATACTGACATATAAAGGGGCTCCGTATCTGGAAAATGTTTACTTGGAAATATTTGCAATTAAAAAGAAAATGGTTTGAATAACCACTAAGATTTATTTTCTCTAAAGAAAATATTAAAATATTTTACTTCACAAAATATAATTTGGGCATAAAGACTGCAGTAACTGAGGCTGAACTTCTATGAAAACTTATCTTGAGAGTAAGTCACATTGAACTCACTAGAACTTACTTCCAAGTAAGCATGCACACTATCGGGATGTTAGTGTTGTGCTGAGGGGATGACGACTACCAGCACGGTAAAGGGTTTATCTTTTATCAGCTCTGGGGCCTCCCTCACCTCCTGGATGCGCTTGCGGGCTCGCTGCAACACCTCCTCATAGCCCTTCTGCCGCAGTTCACTCAGGCTCTCGTAGTACTCCTCCGGGTCGTCCGTTTCGGTGAAGAGGACCTGGGAGAGAATCTTCCACCCGCAGGTGTCGAGGCAGTGGCCCAGGTAAACCTGCAGCTGGTAGCACAGAGCATCCATCTCCTGCTCGGATAGCTCCGGTGCCCCGAACAGTACCGTCCACATGCCCGACGGTTCTTCGGGAAGAACCGGTAAGCAGGGCTCCAACTCGGAATTCACCGAGCACAGCTGCTGATGCACGGCCCGCAGATCCTGGAAGGAGAAGAGGCCGGCCCAGCTACACTCCTCCCCAGACGAGGGCTCTTGCTCTGAAGAGGCCACCGAGGGCGTCTCGGCGGCTTGAGGCCCGGAGAGCGGGGACGGCAACAGGAAAGCGGTGCCGCCCGCCGGCTCGTCCTTTCCCAACTCTAGTACCTCGATATCCTCGGCCACGCAGGCCGCGGGGCTGAGGGGCGCCTTCGGAGCAGGCGGAGGCCTCCGGGCCTGACTGCTCCTCGCCCTGGCCGGGCTCCTCTGCACTGTCTCAGTCACTCGGCCTCCGGGGCTCCTTGGCAGCGACTCGGCCCGAACAGGCGACACCGGCGAGTTCCTGGCTTGGCTAAGCTCGGCGGCGCTCCAGGCCGGGCTCCTGCGCATTGTGGGACTGCCGGCCGCCTTGGTGGAGGTGGAAGCTGCTCGCTGTTCTGCTCCCCCGGGACTGCTGCTGCCGCCACCCCGACGGCGGAGCTCCCGAGAGCCGCTGCGCTGCCTCTGCGCTGTCCGGTTGTGGCAGGTGATGGCGAACTTGCCCTCGATCTCATTCCAGGCCACAATGAAGACGAACTTGTGCTTCTCCCGCTCATGAAAGGCGTGAGGCCTCACAGCCACCCAGTCCGCCTCCAGCGTCTCCTCCAAGGCGAAGGTGCTCATGGTGCCGCCGCTGCCGCCGTCCTTTCCTCTGTCACGGCTGTCGCGCCGGACGGGAGCTCTTTCTCAATCGCAGTCGCCGTTGCACAGGGGGACTCAGTTACTGCCCAGCATCAGCCATTTTAGCGAGCGGGAGAGACGGAGTAAAAAGGAAGGATGCGCTCCTGGCGGGGCCGGGTGGGATGCGACAGGAAAGGGGGACCGGATAGGCTAAGGCGCGAGGGAAGCGTCAGTCGCTACAACGGCCGCCGCCTTAGCCGCCTGCGGCCCGCGCTCCTCTCCCTCTCTCTCGGCTTTGTTGTCATGAGCCAGGCAGCGGCGGCTCCTCCTCCTGCCTGCCGAGGACAATACAAGTCAATACAGTGCTTTGCACAGGTACTTCAGGCAGTCACGTGGAGGCCCGGATCTGTTTACAAGACGCGGCGGCGACGAAAACGGCGAGGCAGCCGCGTTCCGGCCACTCACATAATCCGCCCCGCCTCCAGGACGCTTCTCTCCATCCTGCTCTCCTCCTGCCCCAACGCGGAGCTTCCACCGCTGGTCCGCGGCTCCTCCTCGCCGACGCTGGCCCAGCCGGTTCTGTGAAAGAGAGAAGGAGAGATGGGGGCAGGGAGCCCTCTTCACTCCGCCTACTCTCCTCTCCGGCCTGACCAGACTACCTTCTTTCTCCAGTTTCTGCCTGCTGCGTTTGCCAGGAGCGCCTTCATTATCTTCTTCCTCCAAACAATGTTCCTATTCAAGCCACGCAGGCAGCGCACGTCAGGCTCAGCCTCCTCCTTCTCCGCTGAGGATGTGCATCGTGCAACACACCCAAGCACGAATACCTCAGCACCACCCGCACTCCTCTGAGCTCTTTCCCTTTCAACGGCCACCGTTGTGCCAGTGGAAAACTGTATTAACTGGTATTTACGGTGTGTTTAGTTAGTTGCTGGTGGACGAAAAGAAGATACATCTGGTAAACCTGGAGCTTTCCTTACAGCTCCATCTATTTGCTTGGCAAAAAACACGTAGCGCCACTATTTAGAAAATTTAAGGGCATAATCCTATGTAAGTTCAGACAAAAAAAAAAAAAAAAAGGCCTACAGCTCCCAGCATGCCCCAAGTTGGCTAGGTCATGCTGGGAGTTGTAGGCCTTTTATCTAAAGTTGTATCCTTGAACAGTACCTTGAGCTCCACGAGTTTTTCTTCTGAATATTGGCGGGGTGGATAAACTGGAGATGTATTTTATTCATCTTCAAGTGCTATATCATGCTTTTCAAATCATTCCTCTTCACAGTATCTTCGCAGTAAAAGTTGCATCCAACTTTTTTGAGAGGGAGATGGGCTCGACAACACACATGGCTGTATTTTACACATCAATGCGTTGTAAGGGTAGCTAGATGATCTACTGAATTCCCATGGAAACTAAAGGAGCCTAATTTAATTTTGTGCTCACATTAAGAAGTTTATATTCAAGGCCACGATATAGCCCAGTCTCTGTATTTTCATTAGGCAAAGGCAAAATGAACAGCTGATTTTGGAGTCAAAAATTGGCTAATAATTTTGTTTTATTATTACAGTTTTACTATCATAGAAAGTAGCATTTGGGCTTCTGCCTCAGGCACCAAAGTGTTTATCTTTGTCTTACTCTTGGAATAGAATCCTAGAATCATAGAATAGTAGAATTGGAAGGGGTGAAGAAGGCCGCTGGGTCCAATCCCCTACTTTTGCAGGGCAGCAATTCACACCTCTCACTCTGGATAAGTAATAATAAAATAAGGCTGTCTTTGAACATGTGTAGAATACATTCCTTCACAATAGCTATCTACATACTTTCTGAGTATGAAGAAGAGTTTCTGCCATTTTAGAAACAGATGGGATGGCACTGGCTTGCTTATTGCCCTATCACTGTCGATGCATGAATTGTTTGTATGCTTTTTATGTGTGCATGTTGCAAAATTCTGGAACGTAAATGCTGTACAGCTAAGATGAAAAGAGGTCAGGCTAGGGGACCAGGTGGTTGAACTAAACAGAGACCACTGGAAGGAAAAAAATCAAATGCCCTGTGCCAGCTGCTCTCCAACAGTGACACATTTAACTCTTCATTGTGCTTTCAATATAGGGTTCTGATCCCTTGGACATCTTTGAACAGGACATCTTTTCTTTTACAGGAGCTCCAGAGCAAACATAACACTTTACTTTTATGGCACTTTACTGAGCATAGACTTTGATATGCTCAGACACATACATTAATCATTTCATTTAGTATCAGTGGAAAGGTTAACACCCACTATCTCTTGTTGGCATTCTTTTTCCTTTTTCCCTCCCTAATGGCATTGTGAGCAGATTCAAGTGTTACATTTTCATTTCCTGGTTGTGAGACAAGATATGCATGTGTGACGCTACTGTTATATTATTACTGTGTTCACAGTTACACAGTTTGAGAAGTACGTAGACTTCCCAATCTATGCATTAACTACAAAACAAACACACTGACGATTTATAAAATACAGCCATAAAGTAGCCTTGATATATAAAAATAAATATCTCATTAGAGCAGCCCTGATATGATTGACTTCTTATTTTATTTTGCTGCATGTCACCCACAGGTAACTACTTCATAGTACCAATACATTTATTCTGTTATTTCTCCCATTCCATTCTCATCCTCTTAAAATTAAAATTTTCACTTTACATCAAATAATATATCTTATTATAATCCCATCGTCTCCAACCAGAAGAGTTAATAGTTGTAGTCCAACAACATTTGGGGACCCAAGCTTTGGAAACACTACCCTAGAGCTTAGAGCCCATTATATAAATTGGAAGCTTAAAATTTCTACAGTCATGCAAATGTTGCTTAATACAGAGCAGATGTCTTACCATCGGTGCTGGTGTTGCCCTCAGCATTTGAACCCATGGCTGGGTTGTTTGTTCATCTATCTATAGTTAAGCTGCTGCCAATTATAAGTAAATCCTGCATTTACTCAGCAATGAATTATTCCATAATGGTTGTGTTCACAACAAGCAGCCCTGTGTGATTACTATGGTTCACAGTTTTTTACAATAATCCACCTGTTAGGCAATCAAGTGTTTTATATTTTACTGTGGTTTCTGTCCTTCCAACTCTGCCCTCCCACTGTTGGCATGTATCCCATCAGCTACAGTGCCTAAAATTCAGTTCCAAGGTTCATTGCTCCCTGTCTACGTTGCCTCTGTCTTCCTCATTGGTAGTTGCATACCAGAACTATGGAAACCATGATCCTGGGTTCAGATAACATGAGAAGCCATGGTGGTATGGAGATACCCTAGAACAAACCATTATTTCTTATCATGGTTTTTAAAGACCAAATTTACCATTACAAAATACTGTGACCAAGTTTGGATAAGATGACAGGCCAACAATGGTAAAAACCCACCATGGTTTGTCATGTTGTCTGAACCCAACCAGTGGCTGTATTCATATATAACACTAAGCAATGCTATGTGGTTACTGCACAGCATGGTATTTCACTTTGTCTCCTGGATCCACACATTTCTGTGGTTTCTATGCATGCATGGTTTCCATGCTTCTCCATCTTCCCTGCAAGTGGCAGCTCATATTCCATCAGACCCAATGGCTCACAATCCATCCCAGTGTGCAATGCTCCTGCCAGTGTTGCCTGACGTGTGGACATGGCCTCAGCAAGATGCCTTTTTCTGTTTTTTCTGCTGCTAGGCAAAGCAAGTGCCTTCTCACTAAAACAGAACATAGTGCATAGAAACAGAGTCAGAAGGGGCCTCCCAGGCCATTTAGTCTGACCCCAGCTCCAGCCAGCTCTGCTCATGACATGCCTACCATGCGCATGTCCAGCCTATGCTTGCACTGTTGCTCTAGAGGAAGACTGCTGGAATGCTTCCTGCTGCTGCCCTGCTGTGCACCAACATGCAAGAATACCCATCCATACACCCACATCTCCCTCCTCCCTTGCTGCACATGTGTCTGTGCCTCCCCATGCACAGGACTCACACACATTGCCAGGTCTGCCACCCCCTGCTCCCAGGCACACAGAGGGCATCCACATGGGCAGGCTGTGCCAGGGAGAGAGGGTGTCCCTGTGGACACCGCCTGGGAAGGTTTTCTGGCTGGCTGCAAGGAATGTCATTGTGGTAAGGCCAGGAACAATGGGGCTTTTTGACAGCCATGAGGAAAGCTAGGGACAAGGTAGGAGCAGCAGAGAGGGTGGGAGATGGAGCAGGAAACCTGGACTTCTTAGGGCGATTGCCCTGATGGTGATGGCCATGAACAGCCCATGTGTTCCTGTTGTGTAAACCTGCCTTCACAAGAGCAGAGTAATAGCTCCCCAAGTCAATCGAACATATAGCCATCTCAAAAGCACTGCTCCAGCAAAGTGCCTGACAGGAGTGTCAAGTATGGCTGCCTCTGCAGTGCATGATACTGGAGTGGGTGTTTGGTCCCACTGCCGCCAATATTCCTTTCCTGCAGCTGAGCATCAGGAAGGCAGCACAGGAACCGAGGGAAAAAAGTGGTGCAAGCAGCCAATCAAAGCAAAGCTGCAGCTACCTAAAGAGTTGGTAGGCAGAACAGAACAGTAAAAAATGGAGGGTGGAGAACCTGCTCTTGCTGCCAAAGTCACTGGTGGAAATGTGGAAACCACATGAAAATATTGCTGCTGGAGTCACAACTTAGCAAGCCATGGTATAGCATGGAAACCTTACAACAAAGTGTTGTTTCTCCATGTGGTTTCATGGAAACCAAACAGGCCATGCTTACCTCGGATGCTGAATTCACACATAATGACAAGAGTGCCTGCATGGTTTCCAGCATAGCTTATCGTTGTGCATGGATTCTGTCTGGTGGAGCTATCCTGGCAGTTTTGGAAACATGAATTTTTAACAACTTTGCAAGATAAAGGGCTATACTGAGGACAAATTCTCACTTCATATTTTATACTTAGATTTTTATGGTGATAGGCAGTGCCAAGCATGAGTGGGGCCACATCTTATCTCTGTGCCACCTGCTTTTCCATTACTCTCTGACAGCCACATCTCTTTTTCTCCCTCATGTTAGAGGTCTGACATGGTTGCCTGCAGAGTTTTAAAAAATTAGGCCAGAGACT